ACCCCTGGGTCTTTCTTCAGAATCCATTGTTTTTATTGTTTTATTGTCATATTTTCAAACACTGACTTCTTACGAACTTTTAGTTTTATCTTAATTTTTCTTCTGGAACCTGAAGAAGGTTTGTTTTCAAACCAAAATGTTGGGCAAATTTGTTTAAATATATATTTTGTGTTTTATTCTTTTGTTTACTTCTTCATCGTCTTGCCGTAAGGATCAGTTTGCCGTTTTATATTTTTCTACGAGTTGTTATTTTACCGATCCAGGTCTACATCTGGGAGATCCGGCACCACTCATTGGTTTGTCGCTGTGGACTTGCTGATATTTTATATATTTTGGTATTTTTCTTCAAGCTATATTTTCAATATGCAACCTCCATGCGTCATGCATCAAAGACCCATTTTGAATTATTATTTCTGCTTTCTTGGAGTTGTCGAGACCTTACCAGGTATGAAGCAAGGTATGAAAACACAACAACAACAACAATAAATAAATAAATAAATAAATAGATAATGAATAGTGTTCCTTCAAGGAAACAATCTTTGAGTTGTCTCTTGTTAGTCATTTACCCAAGCCATTTGAAAATTTTTAAAAATTCTTGGTTTCCCCTCCTATTTTTAAATATTTGCCCTGTTAATCGGGGTTCTTATACCTCAAGTGAAATTTGCCTTTGAGCCGGCTGGTGGTGACTTTGTTTTGCCGGCAGAAACCTCATCACTGCTATTCATATCCATCATAAGCAGTAGGGTTTCTATGGCCTATTTCAATTGCATCTTTTGTATTCTTCTCATAACTTTCTCTTTTTTTTATTTGATGACTGCAGGTAAATTTATTATCTTTCAACTGTGCTGCTGTGAGCTGTCCCAAATGGTAGATAAGAGGGATAACTTGAAGCCCTCTCCCTTAAACCCCCTTCCCCCACCCCCACCCAATCAGCAATCAGTTGTCTTGCCTAATCAATGCTCATGTAAACTATTAGATGAACTTATGAATAAATAAGGCAAATTAGTGACTTGCAAGTGTAGTGTGGAGAAGCTGATGATAACTCCATGGAATTTTCAGGGTCCTGCACCATCAGTAAGGTAGGTATCAGGGCCACCTCTTCCATTTTCTAAGAATGAGGTTGGAGTAGGTATATGTTTAGACTTAAGTTCAGGCCTAACTGATCCCAAAAAATAGATTTGATAAGATTGTAAAATAATTTTATATGCCTTAAATCGCCTGTACATTCGGAGGAAACTAAAAAAATATATTTTTGATACTAATCATATATATTATAAGTGGTAACACTAGCATTATTAGTTGAAGAAAGTAATTTCCCTAGTTAGCCAGTGTAGTTGGGGAGCAGATTTCTAATAGAGGCCCCCAAATTGGGTTACACAGCGCCCCCACCACACAAAAGGTTTGACAACAGATTCAGATAGCCAAATACCCATAGATTACTCATTTAACATTCAGATCTACAAACTGAGGGGTCAGTGACTTAGTACACTGCGATTTTTGAGGTGGGTGTGGGTATTTTCAGCATTTTCGTATAGGTGCAAAAGTTGGAAAAATCATATCTTTTTACTTAATCAGGCAAATGGGTTAGTATTTGGCCGACACATGTTAATCCTTAAGAGCTACAGATTATCTCAGATGTATTGTGTGCTTTTTTGCATTGCCATGGTAACGGTTTATAAGGAAAACTGTCCATTGGGTCTAACATCAATGATAACGTAATATCTTAAAAGACTAAACATTGTTTGATGATGAAACTTTGGTAAGTCATGTAACTTTTAAAGCTCTTTCATTTTATAACATTTTCGCAAAGTGATTCTTGTTTCCATGGCAACAGCTGCTAAGATGTACTTTTTGTAAGCCATGCCCCTTTTTAAAGAAGATCGAACAGAGATGTGGGTCAAATAAGCAATTTGAAACAAAAGTTAATAGAAATATGAAATAAGAATTTTTTTTAGCCGGTTTGAAGAATGCAGAATGACTCCCTCAATTACTTTTAAATGAGTTTTGTATCGAATCAAAGTAATTACCATTGATTTCGTGGCCAACATAACGAGATTTGCTGAAAATAGAACTGAAGAAACCGCATATTCTATAGATTTGTCTGTCACCAATGTCTTTATTCAAGCGAAAAAAACCACATGATTGTGTGCCATAGGTTCAATAGCAATGATATATTACAGGCTCTTTCCCATCTGCATTTCACTTCAAAAGCATAACTACAACTAATTGACAGCCTACTCCTCACCATCACTCGGACACTCTAATTCATCAAAACCGGTGTGAGGATTTTCACAATCATAGGCCATGCAAGCACAAGCCTTTGTGCACGATAACTCATTGACTCTACAAACGCGAGAAGCCGACTTGCAGGCTGTCTTTAGGGTTTGCAGACTGTGAACTCTGCTAATCCCTTTGGCGCAGCATCCCTGGTAATCAGAGGGGGCTTCAGATAGCCATCATCGCCCTTCTCCCACTCATTTCCCACTGCCTGGCTGTGGTAATTGCTGAAAAGCTTGCAGACATGGCTTCCGAATCATTGCCTGGTAATTGGCACACTGAAAGTGCAGCAGGAGACCATCAGAGGTGGGCAGCAGTCCATCGTTTTTCTGTTTTCTCTGACAGAACACCCAGTACCCAGCTCTTTACATGCATTTTAACTAATAAGTTACGTAGAATTCATGATTTGACCATGAGTGTACCTTACATCATCTGCTGTTGTACCGAAACCCAACTTCATTGGTATGGATTCACTTGCTCCCAAATAACTTCATCCTCGCTGCTCCTAGACATGGGGCATTAATAAGTTGCTCTGATATCTCCTCTGGCATAACTACTCCTGTAGCAAGGGTCATTAGTGGAACGTCCCCTCTGTATGCATCTTCATCAAAGGGATGAGACATCAATGTCTGCAGAGTATGTATGACCTTTTTGATGTCATTTCGTCTCTTTGAACTTTGACTTTTGGCGATTCCTTGTCTGTACTTCTTGTAGATTCATCCAAATCTATCACACTTTTGGTAGCAGCTGTGGTTGCTGTTCTCTCGTATGCTGTCAAAAACCATTTCTGCAGAGCGCTTAGCCTTTGTGTAATACCGATTATGCCACCTTTAGTTTTTCTGTCAAGGTTAATTCTCTGTTCAAGAGCCATGTCCGTCCAGACTTTGTTAAATGACTATGATGTTGACCTTCTGATAGTATGGTTCCCTCTAACGAACTCATTGTAGACGTCTAGAGATTTTTCTTGCAGATGGCGCATATCCGTAATATACACTGACAGCCATCGGGAGTATAATTCAAGCGATCCATTACAAAAACATATGGAATCACCTTTGTTGTAACCTTTAGATGTAGCTCCCAGTCACCCTCTCATTCTGCTCAAATCAGCTCTAGAAGAAGGAGAATCATCTCGATGTACTTGTCCTGAAACTTGAAAAGTTTCGATGACGATTCTTGTTTAAACCGTGTCAATAGGCCCTCAACACGGGTGGCGGTGTTACAAAGGAGCAAATAGGCCTCTTTCTTCTCTTCAGCTGTTGTTGCTGTTCTGTAGCGCTCTATGACAGAGTTATCGAGATTTAGAATAGAACCTCCTTCGCTTTCGACTCCTGCACCTCCTCCTTTACTAACCCAGGAGCAAAGTGCGTCCCATTTCAAACGCAGAAGCACCTCCATAATCAATTTGTGTCCTTTAATTCCCTTGTTGTACGATCTTCCCTGCAATAGTGCCATAGCAGAGCTCGATCCGTAGAGGCCAGACTCTATGAACACATCCTCTAAGCCACTCTCCAGGAACATCTTTCCGATCAAGGCCAAATAATTGAGTGCTATGTGAAACCCGCCTAAGCGAATCGCTAGGTTTTGGAACGCTTCTGGATAACACCAGTGGATTTCTTTTGCCTTGGAATGAATTGTTACATCAAATGTGATTACTGCAGTGCTCTGCTGGAGATGTTTGGACATTTCTTGCACAGTTTTAAGTACCGTACAGATGGTACTGTACTCTGTTGGCGATCCAGCAATCATCGGGCAGTACCCAATAATGGTACGAGGCAACGTGAGACATTTCCGTATTCAATGCGCTCCATCCAGAAGCTGATTGTTCTCCACAGGTATCATCGGCCTTCAATACGTTTTTTCTAATGAGCCTGAGCAGAAACCATGCCACTTCTGAGTTGTTGTGGAATCTTCTCTTAATTCAAAGTGCTCTTCTGCCCTTCCTACAAATGAGGTCAAGGCAGGACGCTTACCATGCACACTGCACTCGTGCATGAGTTGACCCTGAACTGGCTACTCTGAAGATCTTCTTCTAGAGGTGTGGTCGGCCTGGACCTTCGGTGGGAGTTTGGGTCCAAAAGGGTGACGCTGATACACTACTAGCGTTACCTTTTGAAGATTAAATCATTCCAGCAGTTAAAATGACGGATGCTACTTGCAAAGCAATTTATACAAAATCTGCGCAACTAAAAAAGTAAGTATTTCAATAATTTTGTTTTAAATTTTCAGTAGAATACTCATNATGAGACATCAATGTCTGCAGAGTATGTATGACCTTTTTGATGTCATTTCGTCTCTTTGAACTTTGACTTTTGGCGATTCCTTGTCTGTACTTCTTGTAGATTCATCCAAATCTATCACACTTTTGGTAGCAGCTGTGGTTGCTGTTCTCTCGTATGCTGTCAAAAACCATTTCTGCAGAGCGCTTAGCCTTTGTGTAATACCGATTATGCCACCTTTAGTTTTTCTGTCAAGGTTAATTCTCTGTTCAAGAGCCATGTCCGTCCAGACTTTGTTAAATGACTATGATGTTGACCTTCTGATAGTATGGTTCCCTCTAACGAACTCATTGTAGACGTCTAGAGATTTTTCTTGCAGATGGCGCATATCCATAATATACACTGACAGCCATCGGGAGTATAATTCAAGCGATCCATTACAAAAACATATGGAATCACCTTTGTTGTAACCTTTAGATGTAGCTCCCAGTCACCCTCTCATTCTGCTCAAATCAGCTCTAGAAGAAGGAGAATCATCTCGATGTACTTGTCCTGAAACTTGAAAAGTTTCGATGACGATTCTTGTTTAAACCGTGTCAATAGGCCCTCAACACGGGTGGCGGTGTTACAAAGGAGCAAATAGGCCTCTTTCTTCTCTTCAGCTGTTGTTGCTGTTCTGTAGCGCTCTATGACAGAGTTTTCGAGATTTAGAATAGAACCTCCTTCGCTTTCGACTCCTGCACCTCCTCCTTTACTAACCCAGGAGCAAAGTGCGTCCCATTTCAAACGCAGAAGCACCTCCATAATCAATTTGTGTCCTTTAATTCCCTTGTTGTACGATTTTCCCTGCAATAGTGCCATAGCAGAGCTCGATCCGTAGAGGCCAGACTCTATGAACACATCCTCTAAGCCACTCTCCAGGAACATCTTTCCGATCAAGGCCAAATAATTGAGTGCTATGTGAAACCCGCCTAAGCGAATCGCTAGGTTTTGGAACGCTTCTGGATAACGCCAGTGGATTTCTTTTGCCTTGGAATGAATTGTTACATCAAATGTGATTACTGCAGTGCTCTGCTGGAGATGTTTGGACATTTCTTGCACAGTTTTAAGTACCGTACAGATGGTACTGTACTCTGTTGGCGATCCAGCAATCATCGGGCAGTACCCAATAATGGTACGAGGCAACGTGAGACATTTCCGTATTCAATGCGCTCCATCCAGAAGCTGATTGCTCTCCACAGGTATCATCGGCCTTCAATACGTTTTTTCTAATGAGCCTGAGCAGAAACCATGCCACTTCTGAGTTGTTGTGGAATCTTCTCTTAATTCAAAGTGCTCTTCTGCCCTTCCTACAAATGAGGTCAAGGCAGGACGCTTACCATGCACACTGCACTCGTGCATGAGTTGACCCTGAACTGGCTACTCTGAAGATCTTCTTCTAGAGGTGTGGTCGGCCTGGACCTTCGGTGGGAGTTTGGGTCCAAAAGGGTGACGCTGATACACTACTAGCGTTACCTTTTGAAGATTAAATCATTCCAGCAGTTAAAATGACGGATGCTACTTGCAAAGCAATTTATACAAAATCTGCGCAACTAAAAAAGTAAGTATTTCAATAATTTTGTTTTAAATTTTCAGTAGAATACTCATGTAGCTAGGCAAACACCGTCTCAAAACACAGAGATAATAATAACGTCCAATGCGACAATTGAAAAAGTGTATTTTTTACAAAATATATGTATTTGTATCCTAAATCTTAACTAAAGATTCTGCAGTAATTAACATTTCTAGACACACACGAAACAAAAACTATAAAGAATTGTTATCTTTAGGCATATGAGCAAAAAGTTTAAGGGAGTTATTCAGCATTCTTCAAAGCGCCCAAGAAAAAACGTATTTCATATTTCTACTAACTTTTGTTTCAAATTGCTTATTTATCCCACATCTCTGTTCGATCTTCTCTTAAAAGGGGCATTGCTTACAAAAAGTTCATCTTAGCAACCGTTGCCATGAAAACAAGGATCACTTCGCGAAAATGTTATAAAATGAAAGAACTTTTAGAGTTACATTACTCACCAAAGTTTCATCTTTGAACATCTTTCACCTTTAAGATATTATTTTTGAAAGGTTTTTATTGGTACCAGGAGGAAAATAGGGTTTAGAGGCAGTTATGACGACTTTCATTATTCGCTACGAGACAATGGAACGGTTTCATTTGTAAATTTGTAAAAAATCTTTACATTTACATTAACCGCGTACAGCGTACTCCTCGCATTTCAGGATTATTGGCTGGGTCTGTCAGCGAAAAAAAAAAGAAAGAAAGTTAACTTAATAGGCTAATAAACAGGTGGAAGACTTAGGCAGCTTACATGGGCTTTGAAAGTATCTAGAGAGCAGTGTTCGCTAAAGACAGAAGCAGGCAAATTGTCCCACTGAATAATTGTTCTTGAAAAAAAGGATAGGTACTTAGCGGACAGGCTAGTTTGAGGCGGGATGAAACTTTCCGAGTGCGAGCGACGTGTCCTGCGCATGACAGTTCGCAGTAGCCCGTGATAGTTAACAGAGAGGAGGCCCCGGGTGATCATAAAGAGGGCCGTGAGCCGACTGTCTATCCGACGTTGCTCAAGGGTACGCCATCCCAGGTCTTCAAGCATGTTGGTGACGCTAGATGTGTTGTTGTATCGGCGCGGGCACCATCGAGCCGCGCGGCGCTGAATCCTTTCGATCTTATGTGAACCGTTATTCTCAACCTCTGGACGGGGTGTCCCAAACACTTGAGCAGTAGTCAACCTGGGGGCGGACTAAGCCTTTATAAGCCTTGGCTTTTAAAGTTGACGAATTTACCCGTAAGTTTCTTTTAAGGAAGCCAAGCGTGCGGTTTGCCTTGGCTTATCTCGTCAATGTGTCGATTCCACTTGAGATCTTTTGAGAACCAAATACCAAGGTATATATTTCGCGTGATCAACCTTCTTTAGTGGAGTGCCATACAGGTACTAAGTATGTTGTAATGGGGTTTTAGACCGCGAGATCCGCAACACGTCGCACTGAGTGTCGTTAAACTCCATCCTCCAAGTTGCCTCCCATTTCTGTAGTGCATCAAGGTCATCCTGGCGCTGTCTGCAGTGATCTTCACTTGTGATAGTCAAATAGAGAAAGGTATCGTCGGCGAATAGGTGAACCCTCGATCTTATACTCTGTCGAATATCGTTAATGTATGCCAGAAAGAGCAATGTACCTATGATGGAGCCTTGAGGCACACCAGAAATGACAGCTATGGAATCAGACTTCCCGCGGCGCTATCCACCACTACGCATTGTTGCCGATTGTCAAGGAAGGCTTTCAATCTACTTCAGAGTGTCGCCTCTAATACCGTAATTCTCCAGTTTATATAGAAGTCTGTTGTGAGGAACCTTATCAGAGGCCTTAGAAAAGTCCCATATGATGATATCTTTCTGCTTAGCATGTGAGTCGTCGACAATATCACTTGCAAACTTACCATGCTGTAAGTGATAGAGGAGATTGTGATGTTCTAGGTGTGACATGATACTCTTAGTGATGATGTGCTCTAGCTATTTACTGCAGATACATGTCAGGGAAATTGGTCTGTAGTTTGCCGGATTGTCCTTATCGCCTCTCTTAAAAATGGGTGTTACCAAGGCTTTTTTCCAGTCCTCTGTTACTTGGTGAGATGATAGGGACTTACTGAAGATCTTCTGAAGGGCTGGTGCTATTNCTTCAGAGTGTCGCCTCTAATACCGTAATTCTCCAGTTTATATAGAAGTCTGTTGTGAGGAACCTTATCAGAGGCCTTAGAAAAGTCCCATATGATGATATCTTTCTGCTTAGCATGTGAGTCGTCGACAATATCACTTGCAAACTTACCATGCTGTAAGTGATAGAGGAGATTGTGATGTTCTAGGTGTGACATGATACTCTTAGTGATGATGTGCTCTAGCTATTTACTGCAGATACATGTCAGGGAAATTGGTCTGTAGTTTGCCGGATTGTCCTTATCGCCTCTCTTAAAAATGGGTGTTACCAAGGCTTTTTTCCAGTCCTCTGTTACTTGGTGAGATGATAGGGACTTACTGAAGATCTTCTGAAGGGCTGGTGCTATTACTGAGGAAAGCTCTCGGAGGACCATGGGGGAAAGACAATCAGGCCCAGCGGCCTTGTGTGGCTGTAGATTATCTAATAGCATAGCGATATCAGCAGTTGTAATTGAAATGGGTGGCATAGATGGCGTACGATAAGGGGTATGGTCGAAGACCCTGTCACACTGATTTTGACAAAGTTGCTTCAAATCTAAGCCGGGTACATGGCTTGTGAACACTGATTGGAAATAGCTGTTTAAAACGGTCGCCTTATCAGCCGCATTGGTTATTAAGTTGCCCTGATGTTTGAGAGATGGTACCCCCTTGCTGTCAGATTTGGAATACTTAAACAAGCCCCAAAGACGTTTGTTAGCTCCCAGCGAGTCTTCTTTGTATTGGGGCAAAAATCTCTTCCACATACTGCCAGCATGCGGCACGAAGCTTCTTTTGGACTTCATGCTTGTTAATGATCTTGTAGCAGGGATCATTCCGTGCGTGAAGCTTATCCCTTTTCCTCATGGGGCGTTTCAATGAGGGGGACACATATGGCAGGCCATTTCTTGAGCTCGTAAACCTATGTGGTATGAATCGCTGGATACCAGATGTCAATTCCTCTCGAAAACTAGACCACAAATCATCTATTGATTGATAACAGTAGAATGCACGACAGAGTCTACATATTTAGACATGTGTTCTTTAAGGCCATCCCAGTCTGCTTTTCTATACAAGGGAACCATCCTGCGTTTTTGTTTGTTGGTTGTTACTTTGATATTACCCTCAACAAACAAAGCATCATGACCTCTAATACCTGGGATAACTTAAGTCTTGATGATAAGACTGTCGTTGTTAGTTATAAACCAGTCTAAGACATTAGTAGGGTGGGTGATAAGTTGGACTAAGCCATGATCTTCAAGACAGTCCGCGAATTTTCGGGTAACTCAGGGAAACGACAAGTCGGAAATAAGCAGTTGTGCAAACGGTTCGCCAGAATTAGTAAATATCAACTGTAAGCACATTCTCACTACATCGGTAATATATGTTAGTCGCGGAAGTCAAAACATCCGTTATTATTGACGTTAGACCCCATGGACAGAGTTTCCTTACAAACCGTTACCATGGCAATGCAAAAAAGCACAAAATACATCTGAGATTGTAGCTATTATGGATTAAGACGCGTCGGCCGAATACTAACCCATTTGCCTGAATAGGTAAAAAGATATGATTTTTCAAAGTTTTGCACCCAAACGAAAATGCTGAAATTTGATGCTTCAAAATACCCCCCACCCCCCTCAGAAATCGCAGCGTACCAAGTCAGTCACTGACCCCAGAATTTGTAGGTCCGAATGTCGAATAAGTAATATAAAGGTATTTGGCTATCTGAAGCTGTTGTCAAAGTTTTTGTGTGGTGGGTGTGCTACGATGTTGTATTTTTTTCCGGCCTGTGCTCCTTCACTAGTGAGCTAGTCTCCCTCGCANCGGCTCCATTAAATCCTATACCAATTGCAGAACATTTTAGGAGGAGCCACCCACCATGTGAGCACAGTCACGGACAATGTATAAGTGAGGAAAATAACGCAAAGTAAAATTAAGACGTTAATAAACGAACTAAATGTACACGTCAATTAAATAAATAAACAAATAATGCGCGCGCTCAAAATAAAATTGTACGCGCACACGTACCGAGATACATCTGAAATACAACACTAGGTAATAAATAAGTAATGTAAGGATACGATGGTGCAATTCAAGCCTGGATTGCTAATCTCATCTCCCGCAGGGCTGCACCATACTTCTCGACGATAAGACCATGGCGACTGAAGAATTTATTAAATGATTTCTGAAGTAGATTGGTTTCAAAGCCTTGCTGTCTGAGTCGTAATGAAAGTCCACGGAGTCTATTGATGAAGTCAACTTTGGACGTGCAAATTCTAGCATACCTCACCAGTTGAGATATATAAACACCGTAAGCTGGATTGGCGGGAATGTTGCTGTCCATATGAGGAAAGTTGACAATGCGAAATGCAAAGTCCTCTGTTTTATCGTAGATGCTGATACGGAAGGGTG